TTAGAAATTCCCCTGTATGTTTCCTACACTTCAGTACATGCCTTCATGAAACATGACAGGCCTCCTGCCTTGTCCGTGTTTCACCTTTCCCAAGTTCTCTTATCATCATGGGAATGTACTTCATGCAGACATTCAAACATTATACCTGTCACCCATTCATTGTAATCAACATTAATACAGCACTGCACACTTGCAAATTAAAAAAAAAAAATTACTACCTATTAACAATTCTAATAATAATTTCCAGCAATGCTACAGAGAGTGCACCACTTTGAGATCTGAATTAATATGAAAGATATTTTGGCCATTTACTCCTAGAAAACACTTTGAAACACTCAGATGCCCACTAGAACAGCAAATCTCACTTTCCAGCCAGGTCTAGCAAGTATACATTCAAAAAGATCAATCACAGCAGGAAGGCATCTTGCCAGAATATTGTTATTCTTGAGACGTGCGACAGACTTTCATGAAAGTCTTGATTTCTGCTGCTCAAATCCAGGTAGACCAGAAGGGTTGTTTGTACATGAAGTTATAGCTGCTTTTGAGTGAATAGCCAAAGTCACCACCCTGCAGTCTGAGTTAATCTGCTACACTACATCTGCCATTCTCAGGTTCCCATTTGCCTACTCCGTCAGCCTAGTGTTCTCAGTAGCTTCCTACCGGACCGGTGATGTTGCAAGAACACCGAGCTACCGGTTTAACCTTAACACTGTAATTGGCAATTTCATTGTCAATTGGACCATTTACTTGAACCTACCACCACTGATAACTCCAAATAGGTGACTTGACCATTCGATTCAGAGCACTTAACTATGCCCTCCAGATATGAGTGTTATTTTTTCCGGTTTGCAGGGGTTCTCTGTCCTTGCTACCTAACGATACTGTCTACTCTCACCTGAATAGTTACTCCATGAACAGGAACAATTTACCGCACAAACACACCTGGAGCTGCAGTCAGAAGTCAGGAACACTCTATGCTTGGTCCCTGCACTTTGGTACACGCCACCACTGAGCACAGTGCTGATACTCCACCATGTTCCCTAACTTAATCTTGCAGTCATCAAGACCAACATTACCACAAAATCACAGGGACATAGATCAGAGCTTACATTTATGTAAATTCACATAATTACAGACAGTAAAACTTATCATAAACACTGCATACTATAACTGAAAATATAAAAGTATGATAATGATAATCTGGCTTGTTCAAGCCAGAGAAAAAACCTGAAAACTAAGAATTTGTATTAAGGTTCATGTTTTGGCAAGGGATATTGCCCACAGGCTGGTATTTGGATTAAAACCAGAAAAGCATGAAACAACTGAGATCAAGTTACAGAAAGATTTTTACTATTTATCACCTCCGCTGTTTTAATATTTATTTAGTTGGGTGTACGCTCTTAAAATCACGTGGCAGTTTCATAAGTCCAGAGCTTTTCTACTGTCAGGAGTTCCCCTACTTATTGCCTAGCAGACTTACGATTGAACTATTTATTCTAGCTGATCAAAAGTGAAGTGATGTTATACGTGGGCTCATTGGAAGTGGTAAGTCAAACTAATGGACCCCTTCTCAACGCCGCTACGACGGGGCTCGAAGCGTCGCGGTCGCAGAACGCACTTGGTCTCCAGCGAGCGAACGCGCCCGAAAGCCTTCGCGCCTCAGGCTGGGGTAGGCGCCTGCCCCTCTCTGCCCAGGGTCTGCACAGGCTTCACGGCCCCTCTTTGTGTGAAAGCTGGGGAAGAAGAAAAGATGAGAAACATTCCTGAACTGATGGATAGGAGCAAACATTAACTGAACAAGAATTCAACAAAAAACACTTGTGGTAACTCAGGAGATAGAGCAGGATTTATGCTTGAACAGTAAAAAGCAGCAGAATGGTTGCTATTTCTTAGGAAAATTACTTTATTTTTAATCAACATCTTTGCTACCTCTAATTAACAGGCACTGTTGTGAACATTTAAACACTAGGTGTGCAGAAACAGATGAAAGCCTGTATTATCCTCGTGGTACACCTTTTTCCACCCTAAGATAACGTCACAGGAGGGACTACAGAAAAAAAACACGTAAACTATAATGTTTAAACACGTTTTTCTGCTAGCCCACATATGCATAGGTTACTCACGCATTGGACAGTACTAATCAAGAGTAGTCACGCTATAACTGAACTTCTTTAGACCAGTAGCTTACACAATAACAATTTCACAGAGTCGCTGGTGTAATTACAATTACAGCTCCGTCTAATTGATGACAGCCCTTTTTTGATGAGACCCTTTCTGTGTGTAAGAAAGGCAACAATCATAGTTACTTTGTGTTGGAGTGGGAGAAAAACATTAAGAGAGTAAAACAAAATTTGATTCCATATATGAAGAGGAAGTTTTCTGACATAGATCTCAAAACAATCAAGCGCTATAATGTTCTCAGCGGGAATGGAGTGAAACTGCTTTAGCAAATAGGAGGATTTCTTTTAAAAAGAAAAAAGAAAAAACATCAGAAAGCAAAGACACGTGCAGGCGTCAATACCAACGTTGCCACAGGCACCGGAGTCGGGGAGGGTTGGTCTTAGCGGGGTTGGAGCAGGAGGCTTTGGAAGTGACATAGGAAACTGCTGCGACTCTGATGGCAGCGCCCTCAGACCCATCTGAGTGAACTTGACCTGTAATAAAAAAAAAAAAAAAGGCTCAGGCATTTTGCAAGAGAAAATAACTGGTCACAAAATATTTTTCTAAATAAATGAAAGGAAGAAACCCTGTAGAGGAGAAACTCACCTGTGCAAATGCAAAACAGGTGCTTCTGCCCCAAAGAAATCAGGATCAAGCTTTTCCTAGAAAGAATAATAATTTTCAATGCTATTGCTAAATTTTATTGCCACTCAACATCACTTACTCAGAAAAAACACAACTTCGCCCATCTGATGGTTTTAGAGGTGCAGCAGTTGCTTGTATTGCCTGCTTGCAACCTCAGAAATTCATGAAAGGACATGCTGTTATCCAAGGGAAGTACCCGCCGTAGCCTGACGGCTTCACCGACCTAACTTGCTGAGCAGTGGAAGCAATTTTCAGGTGATTTTTTTGTCCTCCAATGAGGTTCATTCAACTACAAGAGGAACAACAACAATAAAAAGTCCCACAGGTCACAGCTTTGTGAATAGAGCATCTGGGCTTTTGTGGAGATAGACTGGTTGACAGAAGGAAGGAGCTGCCAAAATGACACAATGGTACTGAAGCCCAAGGCGTGAGTACAGAGCCACCCACTCAAATTTGGACATCAAACTTCTTTCCTGCACTGCTGCTTTGAATTGCTCACCTCAGGCTGTTCTGCATGAGGTTCATACGTAGCTCTGGTTTCTACAGTTTTCTCTGCTCCTGGCAGCTCCTCTCCCACTCTTTTGCCACTCCCACCAACCTTCTTCCTATTTCCCCACATCGTTGCCCCACACCTTCCCCCATCCAACCTCATCACTTGTGACTGTGCCAGGTATCGCAGATAGGATTCTGCCAGCAGCTACCAAGTATTGTGCTGCTCTCTTATCTCCTTGCAACGCCCCATCTGTTCCCAGGCCAGGCCTGGGGATCTTCAACACACATCCGTTAAAGACACCTGCAGCCGTGAGTCTGTTCCGTTTTGCTGGTGCCTGATTACACCTGAGCTCTGAGTCATGTCAAACGGGAGCACATGCCACTGCTGCCAGAAACGGTCAGCAGAGGTCTGCAGTTTGTCCCAGACCTGTTAACAAATTCTGGAAATTCCCAGGAAACATGCCAGGGGAGGTATGGGATGGCTATAACTACCTAACTACTTATATTATTATCCCCTGTTGAGGGACATGGAATCCACCTCTTGGAAACTCTGAAACCGAATCATCTTGTTCCTGCAGAGCTTCCCCCACAGCAAACTGCAAGTTCCCAGGTTTGCAGGGCCACAAGCAGGTTGTACAAGTTCCAGCAGGTTTTGAAATTCAGATCAACAGCCTTAGATTCACAACCACCATTGAAAAGGAAGATACCAGCTCCTGTCTCAGGGACACCAAGAAAGGCATAGCTCAGCTGAACATTTAAACTGAATGTTCAAGTTAATGCTCCTTCCTCTGTGACTAAAACATATCAAGAATCAAAGCACAGACCTGTGAAAGACTCTGGTACTGACCGCAGGCATCTACCTGCACAGCTGCTTGGTGGCAGCGCTGGGGACCACGTAGCTCCAGAACAGAGCAGCCTCCTCGCTCCATCCTGCACTCTCAGCACCTCTGCCATGGAGATCCACGGCCTGCACTGGGCATCGGTCCAGCGCCCCTCTGAAAACGCCTCTTGCAGCAATGATCTTTAGCTGAGAGCCAACAGTATCAGCACAATCATAATCCTTCTCATTGGATGAGCTAGAAGGTTCCTCCTGAATAAAGGAACCAGTAAGAGGAATTCCCTGAAATTTGATTAAGATGAGACTAAGCCAAGGTTTTCATGTTCATCAAAATACTCATGCATAGCTGCTGTCTGTGACAAGAAAAGGGCTATATCCTGAAGAGTTTGTAGGTACCCACGAGGCAGAGTGAACACTCCGCACTCACCCAGAGGCTTACGAGTAAACAAACTGATTTCAAGGGAGAAGTTAGCTTTTTCAATTAAAAGAAAACATATCACTTGTAGACAGACTCATTTATTTTTTAAATCTCTAATTTCCATTTTTCAGACAGACTTCAACAATATTTCAAAATGTATTATCATGCTAAGTAGAATTAAAAGGAAATATTTTGGCACAAGAAAGTGCCATAGGAGTAACAAAATAAACAGAATAAATAACCCACTTTACATATGCTGAATAGCACACAGCACACATACAAAACAAATATGCAATACTCTGTACAATAGCTTAAGGTAGTCTTTGCTGAATAGTATTCTACTGTCATATATTAGTTACTAAAATAGAAACTTTAACAAAATGCTTAATTCAAGCAAAACAGTGATGCAATATGAATCAACCCGAGAAGTTTAACGGTTCCAAAGAAGCCAGGCACAGTGGTTAGTAAGCACACAACAGTGTACAGGATGGCAGTCTCAACCAAGAGGTTGAACCTAGTGGTTCTTCATCCACGTCTGTGTTCAGTTCCCTGCTGGAAACCACATCACATCGACATCCTCTTGAGCTTTAGGCTATTAAAAGGAATGAGAAAATGCACATAATCACTTCAAGCACAGGGCAGTTGTGGATCTTTTCCCCCAGATTTAGCAAATACAGAAATAGTTCAGGTAGGAAAAGGACCCAGAAAGGAATCTAAAAAGTAATGATGTCTAACAGAAGATAGAAAACAAATGTGTTCAGAATTGCCATCAGAAGTGGCCTCTAGAAGATGTAAAGAAAAGAGCTTTTATATATGTTTCATTTTCTTCAGCCTAGCAGATTTTAGATTTTTAGGTTCCTACCTCAGCCAAGAAAGATGCTTCTTCACCCAGGGTTCCTTAGGATTTACACAGGCTTTCAGTCCACGGCGGGTGTGGAAACTGGAAAAGAAATAATGGTAAATATATATATATATATATTAGTGAATAACCATAAAAACTCCCTGCTAATAAATAATATGAAGCTGTATTTAGTGAAACTAAAAATAAACAAACAAAAAAAACCCTCATCATGTTACTCCATATAAAGAAACTGCTTTTCTAAACAACAGTTAGATAAGGGATGCTACACACCCCCTTTCCAATACTGCACGAGCAAAAAGAAAAACCTACTGAAATGTGAACATAACAGCTTTTTTAGCCTTCAGAATCATTTTTTGTGACCTACAACTATATTCATTTTATGGAGACATTAAGACAAATAATTTTGCTGGATGCAGGAAATAATATGGGAGAAGAACCCCTGCAATGAAGCTGTGGTGACAGACAACATTTAGGAGGGCTAAAACCTTGCGAGACACCTCTGAGAATGGAACAGGGCTTATCTCCCCTGGCACTGCCAGCAGGCTGTGCCAAGGGAACAGCTGGTGCTGGCCAGAGTGAGGCTAAGCTGGAGACGAAGCACATCCTTGTTTGCACAGCTGGTTCCTCAACTGCCAGGTTTATTATCTACATTGTGCAGCTGTCCTGTGATTTAGAAGTCCCTATAAACTACAGGTCTTGCAATATTTTGTGTGCAAGTATTACATAGGATCTACTCAAACTTCGGAAATATGTAGTCCCTCTCCCCCACAAAAACATCTGGGAATCTCCCAAAGCATAACTTACATGATGGCGTTGATGTCGCACACTTCGCTGGAGAGCTGCTCAGTGTAGCCCATGATGGCCCGCTGCGGCAGGCGCACTTTGCTGTAGGAGAGGCAGCAGTCCTGGTTGCTCTGTGCTGGAAGGAAGGAAGGCAGCGAGGTGAACAGGAGCCCTGGGGCCCATGCACACGTGGCAGCGCAGCAGCCCGCGACGGCCCCTGGCACTCACCTTGGGAGGGAGCGCAGAGCAGCAGCAGCAGCAGCAGCCCCAGCAGGGAGGCCAGGGCCCGACTCTGGG